CGTCTGGGTCCCTGCCTGTGTGGAAGTGACTCCGTCTGGGTCCCTGCATGTGGCCAGTGCCCGCTCTCGGTTTGTTTCGTTTCGAGTCTGTTTTGTGCAGGGCCTGGAAGACCTTTCCAAGCAGCTTCGATCTGAAGTCTGCTCTTGCTGTTGGCTGTCGTCTTCTCACTGAGCGGACCTTGTAAGGGTCATGAGGACCCAGCCGGTCCCAGGGCCTGGGTGATTCTTTCTGTCCCCAGTGACTTTTGGGTTGGACAAAGCCAGATGCGTGGCCACAGCGCTGCAGCAGATTCTCTGGCTCCAGTAGTGCGACGACAGGTCAAACTGGGTGGCTTCCCCGCCCGCCCCAGGATCTGCCGAGCGCGGCGCGGCCTGGGCGGGAAGAGAGGAGAGCAAGCCGCAGCACCCATAACTCTCTGCCCCTTTTTTGGGTAAAGATTTATTTTATTTATGTGTGTATACAAGCACGGGGTGTAGGCCAGAGGTGCAGGCCGTGAGAGGGTTCCCCAGACACAGAGCGGGGGGCAGAACAGGCGGATCTGGAACACGGCTGAGGGGAGCCAGGAGAGTCTGCTGGCCCTGTGGGTCACCCCCTGGCCGGGGTCAGACTCGCACTAGCGCGGCTGCGGCCCACAGTGCTCGCAGCAGCAGGTCTGTCTCTGGTCTCTCAACGCCAAGGACGCCCCTTCATTTTCTCCCCATGCTACCTCTGACAGTTTTGTAGAATGTTCTGTCGGCCGATCTGCCCGTGGTCTCACTCAACCTGCCTCTCTGTCTTCCTCGTTCATTCTCAGTGAAGGTGACTCTGGACACCTGGACGGATTTGGCTTGCTCTCGGTTTAATGTGTTTAGGGTCGCTATAAGGAGCCTTTCCTAGGTGAGCCCCACAGCTCCCTCCAGCGTCTTGTGAGTCTGCGTGGCTGAGGGTCACCACCGGCTGCAGGTTGTGGCAGCCTGACCCTCCTCTGGGAAGTTCCCCGCCAGCCTTTCACCTAGTGCATTCACTCCGGTCAAGTCAAGTCACGACCTGACCTTTGTCCATGTGGCGCCACCCTGAGGGGCTTCAGAATCACCCACAGGGCCTCTCTGTGGCTGAACCCTGCCCAGGTTTTTTATTCTGTGGGTCCCCCAAAATGCATTTCTTACATGCTCCCAGGGCTTCTGCTGGCCCCTCGAGGTATTCGCATTTCCAAGCCCAGCCAGCGGGGATTTCGGGCCCTCTGGGGGTGCCTCAGGGCACCTGGCTGGGGAGGGCTCTTGAGAGGGCGCCCTGCCAAGCTCTCACTCGCAGCATCTCATCTATCCTCACAGCGACCCTAAGTGATTGAAACTTTTCCAGCTGAGCCAACTGAGGCTCAGAGAGGTGAAGTCTCTTGCCTAAGGACGCACAGCAAGCCAACAGGAGGAGGAAATGGATTCTGGATCTGGCCAGACCTGAGCCCTGAACAGCCCTGCAGGCCAGCGGGGTCCTCTGTGCCCGGCCAACCCTGTCTCCCTCTGGTTGCAGGATGCCCTCCCCCACCTCCCTCCCCAGATGGCCAGGAGGTACTCCCAGACCTGGACCTCCCCCCACCGCCACCCCCACCTGCGCTGGCATACCCGCCACCTCCTGAGGAGCCCCCTGCCCCACTGGGGGCGTCCCTCATTTCGGACTTCCAGCAGCTGCACCTGCTCCCACCCCCGCCCCCACCACAGGTACGGCCAACCCCTGGCAAAGCAGTGGGTGGGGGTCGGAAAGCCTGGGCTTCTGGGCTTCAGGGACTTCAGCTCGGAGGGAGGTTGTCCAGGCCCTGCTGGAAGGTAGACCCTCTTCAGAGCTCTTTTAGGATGGTAAGAAGTAGGGGTTTCTCAGGGCCCCTGGAGAAGGGGTGCCACGCCTTTGTGCCTCAGGACCCTCACCTCTGAGAAGACACTTCTGTGTCTAAATTCCTTACGTTGATTGGAAACTCGCTTTGAATCTTCTGCCCTTCACAGGGGCCGGGAAAAGCCCTGATTCCAGGAGAGTCGTCAGCAGTGTAGAAGTAGCTGGCTGTTCTGGGGCCAGCGCAGGAAGCTGGGCTTGGGGCTTCTCTGACCTCCCGCTGGCTGCTCAGCTGCGGCAGTCTCCGGCTTCTCTGGGCTCAGTTCCCTCCCCAGTGCCACAGGGCCAGTTGTGGAGGGTGCTGAGAGGGCTGTGTGGGGTCCCCGCTGGGTGACTGCTGCCTTCTCCCCATGTGTCCCCACAGTCCCTGGCGGAGGGGCCGCCACCCCAGGCTCGGCCCAGCCACCTCAGGTCTGCAGACGAGGAGCTGCCGCCTCCCCCAGAAGAGCCTGTGAGCTTCCCCGACAGGGAGGCATCGACAGGTATGGACGTGGGGCTGGAGGAGTCTGGGGGGGAGCCCCGGGGACCCCCAAGTGACTGGCAAGGGCTTCCAGTAGGAACTGGAGGAGCAGTGTCTGTCCCACTCTGTGGTTGTCAGTTTCATTTGTGTTGACCTTTATCCTTTATAACTAAAATCCATTTAAATTAAATTGATCAGCAGAGTTTGCTGTGATAGCAAAACCACCTTGAGCTTATTTTACTACTTAATTTTTTAAATACACGACGTCTTCACAAGGTGCCAAAGGAAATGGATAGAAGATACGCAGTCAATGTCTCCCTTCTGCACCATCCCTGTATGGTCCAGACAGGTGACTTGAGCAGTTGTGGGCTTACTTAGCTGTACCTACGGGAACAGATACAAATGTGTCCTCCCACCCAGTTTCCCTACAGATAGGGACATGCTCTGTGCTGCTCTGCACTTTGCCTCCTCCCCGCCATACATTCTCAGCTCATCCCACGGGAGAGCATGAAGTGGGTTCCTGTTTTTCACAGCTGCATAGTACTCTGTAGGGGGCTGTGTGCATTTAACCTGTGGCCTACGGACATTACTTAGGTGACTTCTTACTATGACAAATATAGTTTATGCTTAGGCAACACAGGTGTGAACTTCTCTGGCCCAATTATATGCATGTTTTTTTCAATCCGTGGGTTCCACATTCATGGATTCAACTGACCTCGGATGTCAGCTGACTGAATTCATGGGAGAGAGATGTCTCTAAATTATACACAGATGTACCGTAGGAGAGAATGAAACCGAATCCCAGTAGATACCAAGGGATGACTTAAGTTTGGGATGGGGAGGGGATCAACAGTTAGACTCCTATTTTTATCCTTGGGGTTGGTGCCTGAAAGTCACCTTGCCCTGGCGTCATTTTGCTGGTGTGCAAGCTGTCTGTGATTAAAGTCCTAGGAAAGAGATTTCTGAGGTTCGAGGGAAGGTGCATTTGCAACTTGGATATTTTTGCTAAATGTCCCTCATGATGGTCACCATGGACACCACACAGCAGTGTGTGTACTAAACACCATGTGTTTAATAAATAGCTCACCATGATAGTTACAATGAATAAATGCTGACGGCCGGCCCCTAAAAGCCTCTGCTCCATGGTTGTATAGTTACCCTCTGGAGCCTTACAGGGTTCTTGTGTTTCGTCATCACATTCAGACCATCGCCACATTTTGGAATCGAGTGTGGAAGCGTCTTCCCTTGCTTTGCAGATGGCAGCCCTGTTGTCTGACACTGCCTCTCTTGACTTTAGCTTTCTAGGGGCTGCTCACAGTTCGCCTTCCTTTTTAACGCCTTCCTTTAGTGTCCCCCATGAGACGGGGCCACACCCCCAAATGCCAGGTTGCAGGGCATCGACCTGGCCGTCGGGGCGCGTCCTGGGTGGTGGCTGAGCACGGTACCCCCAGGCTGGGTGGTTACAGCCTGTGTCTTCACCCCAGACGTCTGTGCCTTCTGCCACAAGACCGTGTCGCCCCGCGAGCTGGCGGTGGAGGCCATGAAGAGGCTGTACCACGCCCAGTGCTTCACGTGCCGCACCTGCCGCCGCCAGCTGGCCGGACAGAGCTTCTACCAGAAGGACGGGCGGCCCCTGTGCGAGGCCTGCTACCAGGTGATCCCCCACGCAGGGCCCTGGGTGCTGGGTGCTGGGCCTGGGAAGAGGTCGGAGGACGTCTCTCCCCTTGAAAGCCCTGAGAGGCAGGCACGTCCCAGCTTAGCCCGTGGAAGCTGAGGACACTCTAGAGGGGAGGGAGCCGCCTCACTCACATCTTTCTTACTTGCTGCAAGAATTCCTTTTTCCTGACTCTGAGGTTTAAGAGAAATGTCTCGTGGGAACCCTGGCAGACTCGGGCCCCACGCACACCCTAGTAGCAAATGATGCAGTAATGACTTCACGGCCAGATGCCACGCATCAGTGCTTCGCCCAATCCATTTTAAGCAGTAGGAAGGGGGGTGCTTGGGGATAATGGCTACAGGCCCGATGCATGACAAGGAGCCCCCTCTGCATCCCCACTGGGCACCCACAGGGGGGCTGGTCACAGGCCCCCGGTGGCTCGGAGCTGGCACCCCGCCGGCACAGCTCTGAGGCAAAGGCTGTCTGTCTCAGGACACCCTGGAGAAGTGTGGCAGATGTGGCGAGGTGGTCCAGGAGCACATCATCAGGGCCCTGGGCCGGGCCTTCCACCCTCCCTGCTTCACGTGTGTGGCCTGCGCTCGGTGCATCGGGGACGAGAGCTTTGCCCTGGACAGCCAGAATGAGGTGTACTGCCTGGACGACTTCTATAGGTACATGAGGGGGCGCCGGGGGCCGGGGGTGGGGGCGGCTGCACCCCGGGGGCAGAAAGAGGAGCCGTGTCTGGGTGCTGGGCTCCAGAGTTCCTGCAGGCTCTGCATCGGCAGGGGTCAGCCTTCCCGCTGTGCACACCCCATATTTGCCCACGCTCTCTGGGGGGACCAGGGGGGCCGACTTTGGTGGGGCCACTGCACCCTCACAGTGGCAGGTCCTCTGAAGGATGCAGTTGTCCCCTATGGGGGCCCCCACACTCAGGGCCCAAAGTCTCCCGGCTGGTAAATGTGGAGGATTCAATCCAGACCCCATCAAACTGACTCAGGCCTCCCTTCTGGAGCCCAGCCCCGCCTCCCGCCCCTCGCTGCCTCCAGAGCACCTGAAGCAGCGGTGCCAGGTAAATCCAGGAGGTTCAGCCCCTCCCTGGACTCACTGCCCAAGTGAAGAAAAGGGAAACAGAGGAAGCAGCGAGGATAGGACCGGACAGAGGCCCTCGCCCGGTGGAACACACACAAGATTTCTCTGCTCTTGCAAATTCTGACATCTGCAGGCACTTCCTCACCTCTTGCTAATTATACCCTGGGAATCCGGGTCTAATTACAGAGGCCGCTCCCCCTCCCCCGGCCAAGAAGAAACAGACTTTTGCGGTTGTAGCTCCAGGTGCAGGCCGAGGGCCACGGGCTGAAATAGCCCCAGGAGGTGACCTAGGGCAGCAGAGCTGACCGCTCTGGGCCCGAACACCCCCAAGCTGAGTTCCTGTCCTCTAGGAAATTTGCCCCTGTGTGCAGCATCTGTGAGAGCCCTATCATCCCCCGTGACGGGAAGGACGCCTTCAAAATTGAGTGCATGGGAAGGAACTTCCATGAGAACTGCTACAGGTGTGAGGTGAGTGGATCGGCCAGGATCTAATGTCATTCAGGTACCAGGAGAGCTTGCTGGGTGCAGGGCCTGGGTGGGGTCCGGGGCTGGGACAGGTGGAAGGGCCTTTGGTCCCAGGCTGCCCCCCGTCCCGCAGGGGAGACAGGTAAGAATGGAAGCACTAGAGATGCAGTTTGTTAACCTGAGCTCAGACCAGCGCTGGAGCCCACGCTCAGCCTCCTTCCTGAGGAAGGGAGTCTCGGGAAGGCCGATGGGGATGATGGGAATATCAGGAAGCATCAGGGCTCCCTCCCCACCTTCCAGTTTTGCCCTTTTCTGTGCGTCTGCTTCCCTTTCCCTGCCCAAGGGGTGGCCTCTGTGAGGGGAGGGTCCAGTGCCCGTGGCCCAGGCTTATAGTCTCCCGACTTGGAAACTCCATCCAGGCAGCCCATGGAAATCCCAAGGACATCTCTGACTGGCCCACCTGGGCCAGTCACCAGCCAGCAGCTATGGTTGACACTCCCTGGGCCGGGAGCAGAGCTGTGAGACCCAAAGGGTCAATCAGCAGACTCTGATGGCCTTCTGGGTCCCAGGAGTCAGCTTTGGGTAAAAAGGACAGTGATCAAGGGACCTCCCCCATTTTATAGGCATGCTCACCCCATGCCACTGATGTTTGACTTTTCTGGCACTAGCAAAAAGAAGTGAGGAATCTAGGAAAACTGAACGGCCAATTAATAATTCTAAACATGGACTCACACAGTCACGGCCCATTTCCCTGGGAGAGATGACAGTCAAGTTAAGTTGCTTCATAATTATGTTGTCCTTGGTGGCTGTGGTTCAAGGTCCAGCTGATAAGACATTTTAAAAGAACTGTGGTGAAGGTCAAGTGCTCCAAGGTCTCCCCGCCCTAGGGAGGTCTCTTGGTGATCGGCCTGGCTGGTGAGCACTTCCGTACCCCGGCTTGTGTTTGCTCTGCTTGCTGGGCCCCCCCCCTGAATTTTAGCGGTGGCATTTCAGGAGGGCAGGCTCTGGGCTGCAGCCGCCTGGAACAGGTTGGGTGGGGTGCTGTTTCTCCAAGAAGGGAAACAGGCTTCCGGGTAATCTGGTGTTCCTGTCTCGTCATCTTGCTTGCTTTGTGGTTTGTGTTCTTTATTTATTTAATTTTAAAGATGTATTTATTTATTTATGCAACAAGAACTGAGGTACAGGCCAGAAGAGCAGGGGGTGAGAGAGACAGAGTGGGGAGCAGAACCAGGTGGGTTGACCCAAATCCACTGCAGAGGGGAGCAGCGGGCAGGTCAGGAGGGTTCTGCCGTGCCCTGTGGGTCAGCTCCCTGGCTGGGGATCGAACTCGTGCTGTAGTGGCTGTGGACAGCTTTGGAGTGCTGCGTTTTAGCCCGCTGCGCCATCAGGGCCCTCCACGTGTGACTTTTTACTCCCTCCAAAACTTAACTACTCATAACCTGCTCCTGGACTGGAAGCCTGGTAAGTAGTGTGCAGTGTGTGTCGATTATAGTGTGGCAAAATGCTATAGTGTTAGCATAGAACAAGCTGGAGACACCACCTCGGTATCCTTATGGTTAAGTCTCAGTGTTAGCGCTGCTGCAGCCTGAGTTCGATCCCCAGCCAGGGAGTGACCCACAGGGCGCTGCAGACCTCTCCTGTCTCCCTGCCGCTCCCTTCAGCAGTAGATTTCAATCGATCTGCCTGCTCTGCTTCCCACTCTGTCCTCTGGTGAGCCCTTTCACCACCTACACCCCAGATCTTTCATTGGGGGTGAGGGAGCAAGCTAGACAGACAAAAATATTAAGAAAATCAGAAGGAAGAGAAAATATATTTGTGGACTGGATGGTGTTGATTAACTCCAAATTTGTGTGGTCTGTTTATTGGAAAATCTGCATAGAAGCACCCCACACAGTTCAAACCTTTGTTTTTAAAGAATCAGCTGTACACCCCTTGATTTAATCCTAATGAAGATTTTGCAAGGTGGGGCTTGTTGCCTCCATTTGTGATGAGGAAACCCAGGCTGGAAAAACCAGGCTGTTCCAAACCTCCTAAGGCCAGCTCTAGCTAACTTCCTGCCCCCGTCCTCAGCTCCTTTGCCAACTGTGTGACTGAGTGGTAGTTGAGGTGTTTCCTCACTTGGTCCTACTTTGGGAGAGGCACTTGCTCTTCTGGCACTTGGACTAAGCATGCGAAATGATGGGGGTTGGGAATGGCCCAGACCATGGAATAGGGGTACTGCAGATACAGGGAAGAGACACCGGAGGGCGCCCTCACAGCTGGCCGGCTGGGTCAGGTGGCCCCAGGATCCGACTTCTCTGTCTGGGGACTAGCCCTTCTCATCTGATCAGGGCAGGCGCCAGAGGATGCCAGCTGGGCTCCCGACTGCCTCGAGTTAACCGTCACCTGCAACGTGTGCACGGCTCAGGCCTGCAGCAGTTTGGGCCCCAAGTCCCCACCTTCCTCCTGAAATCCTTTAGTGATTTCAAAAACTGGAAACATTATTCAATAGTTTGTGCAGAGTTTAAGTTGTGTGAGCAGTGGAACAAGGAAAAGACCCTGGAGATCTGCGCCAGCTCTGGAACCAGCTGCGTGACCTGGGGCAAACCCTGCCCCTCTCCCAGCCTCAGTTTCCCCATTGTTTGACAAGAGGGGACTGGACTAGATTCGTCCGTGGTGCAGAGATCTGGTCTAAGCCGGACCTGGTAGTGCGGGCTTCCTGCCTTGAGCTCCCGAACCTCTCCCTTCCTCACTCTCTCCTTCGTGTGTTCCGATGGATGTGGGGCGTGCCAGGTCACATGGTGTCTGCATTTTTAGTTTTCTAGGGTGGATCCTGATGGCTTTCCACAATGGCAGTGTTACAGGGCAGGGAGAGGGGCACCCCTGGGCCCCCAAACCTGCCTTCTCTAAATAGGTTCTGCCATCCACTGCATCCAGAAAACATGTAAGACCTTTAATAGAAAAGAACTTTAATACAATCAGTGTGCAATACAGCAAACATAAAGAATAGAGTTTCTAAATCAAACCCCCGAAGTGACCCTTCCCCTCGTGGGTAAAGTCCACCCAAAAGGGACTGGCCCAGAGCAAGGCCCGAAAGCCCGTCACAGTCTGAAGCACCTTCCAATGGGGACCCGTAGCAAAGGGTGGGAAACGGCCAGGCAAGTCTGGGCGGGAGAGAGCAACATCAAAATCAGGACAAACGCGGCCACAGCCACCCCCCACGGGCCTCTCCCCACGTCCGGGTCCCCCAGTCCGGGACCAGAGACAAGAGCCGCTTCTCCACCCGCCTCTGCTCCGGGAGCCCCCTCGGGCCTCCTCTGGCTCCATCCTGCCTCCTTCCTCCTCAGTGCCCTCTCCACATTCTTCTCTCCTCCCTGCTCAACAGCTTCGTCATCCTCTGGGTGGGGCAGGGAGCCTGGAGCCTCCCTTGTCCCTGGGGACCCTCCGTCACCGCGGCACTGGTTCACATCCCACAGCAGTGTGTGAGGGATGTGGATGCCCTCCGGGGTGTGAGTGATGCTCCTCGTGGCTTGACTTGCATCTCCCTGAGGAAAGGTTGGGCCCGTCTAGCCTTTTCCACGCCCTCTCGGGGCCCCTCGCACCAGGGGCCCCCAGCCCTCCCCTGGCTGACTCTCCTGGCTCACACGGGGCCTTTTCCCGCCTTCCCTGGTGGGGCCGCAGCCAGGCGTGTTGGGGGTGGGAAGGAGCAGCCTCGTCCTTGGGGAGCTGGGGCGCGCGCTCGTTTCCTCTGCGGGCGCTGGGCGAGCCCTCACCTGCCCGGGCAGCTGGCCGCAGGCCCGGGTGGCCTCACCGCCTTGTCCCCGCAGGACTGCAGTGTCCTCCTGTCCATCGAGCCTACGGACCAGGGCTGCTACCCGCTGAACAACCGGCTCTTCTGCAAACCTTGCCACGTGAAGCGGAGCGCTGCGGGGTGCTGCTGAGCGCACCCCAGGGCTGGGGGCTGCGAGGCCCAACAGGACCCTCCCCTGACTTGGTTTCCCGTCCTGACCTCCCGCCACCTGCCCTCCGAGCTGCTTGGGAACCAGCCTGCCGCTGCGCCACAGCAGCCAGCCAGCGCCGCCTCCTTCCCGCCAAGGTGCTGGGCCAAGGCCTCAGACAGCGCCCTCAGGCCGCCACTCTCGGGCTCTGGAAGGTTCTCTCGCTGGGAAGTCCCACCTCTGAGCTCTGGGCCTCTTGAGCACTTATCCGGCCACTCCAGGGCTGGGGCGAGCCCCAGGGGCCTTGGGCCCCTAGCTGTGACTGGAGGTGGCCGAGGGGTGCTGAGCCCGCCTGGCGTACAGACTGCACTGCTGGAGGGAAAAAACGCCATGGTCCCTTAAAAAGCGCTTTCGTAACCACGGAGGTTCAAGGGAGGGGGCGTGTTCCTTGGTATCTTGGAGCAGGATCCTCCCTAGGAAGTCTCCTGTTTCCTGTACTAGAGGGACCCAGTGGGGGTGCAGCCCAGGTGTGAGCGATAGTAGCAGGGGAGGGGAGGAGGGTTGACCCCACGCCCAGGAGCTCTGCACAGTGCTTGGGTGTCTGCGTATGCCCGGGGGGGGGGGCAGGTGCTGGAGATCTGGGGGTGCTGCCCGCAGCCTTGACCACACGCTTCTCCATACAGTGCTGGGGGTCCCCTCCGTCCCTGGCTCATCCACCCAGACCACTCGGCTGACCATCCCAGGCTGCTTCTGGCCACTGCGTCCTCCATAGGTCTCTCCCTGTTTCTTTTAAAAACCACCTTAGTGGCCTGGTTACTTCAAAGACATCTGTGGGCTGCGCAAGTGAGGCTGCGCGTTAATCCTGGGCCCCCTTGCTGTGCCACAGGCTCCTGGGAGGGGGGTTCCCTGCTCAGAGATTCCCTGCAAGGCCCCTTAGGGCCTTCCGGCCGGGGAACAGCTGCTGGGAGAGCCGGAGCAGCGGCCCCCACGCCCCAGGGGTTCACTCAGCACCCACTGCTTGTGTCAGAACCCCACATGGCCTGTGCTGTGGCTCCTCGACGCTTTAGGCAGACGTGCTTGGTCTTCCTGGCACCTGCTGTGGCCCGCACACTTGCACGGCGCCCGCCCCTCTTGCGGGACACTTCCCCTCCATGCAAAAATAAATGCGAAACTATCAGAAGCTCGCTGTGTCCCGTCCAAGTCTTGCGTCTCACCTAAGTGCTGGCCTCGGGTCGTTGCCCTGGAAGGATGTGGGGCACCCGTTCACTGTGTCCGCTCCTCCCTCCTGCAAAACTGGGGCTCAGCTCAGCAGATGAAGGATGCAGGCCCCACCGTGAGCACTCAAACCAGCCGTGGGGTATCCAGGAGGGACCTCCAGGACCATCGCACCCCTCGGCAGAGTCCACGCCCTCATGTTAAGTGCTTTCCCCACCTCACCTGCACCCCCTCCTGGGAGCTGGCCCATAGCTGTGGTGGCTGGTGTGAGGTAGAGAGCACTGTGCCTGTCAACAGCCTGGACACACTGTCCATCCTCCCGGCCTGGCCACCGACTGTAAGATGGAAGCAGTGCGGGTGTCTGTCACAGAGGAAAAGACTGGGGAGCCCAACTGAGGTTCCTGTGCCCACATTCCTCAGGGTCCTGTGAGCCTGTCCCTCAGCAGCGGGGACAAGGTTGGGCTCCTCAGGCTCACCGTGGCTGGGGCACTAACGCTATAGGGAAGCCACAGGGTGTCGCAGTAAGTGGGCGTTGGGGGACTTGCAGGAATCAGGCCTGATTAAGTCTTGCAATGGAGACGCCCAGACGTTTCCCTCTAGGCTGTAGCTCGCTGCTGTGGTTGCAGGGACGCAGCAGCGTGGCCTGGGAAGGGCATGTGGTCATTTTTGGAGCTGGGGACCTGGCCTGTGACGTCAGAGCCTGGCTGCCCCGGTTACGCGGGCCCCTGGCTGTCGAGGCCACTGTCCTCTCAGCTGCCAAGTTTGGCTGGGTTTTGCGATTCGTGACAGTGTAGCGATGGTATTCCCCTCTGTGCCAACCTGTTTCTAGTTGGCTGTGTTTGTTGTGCTATATGGTTGGAAATTGGGGGTGTGGGGTGCCTTTTATTTAGGCCTGCATGTTTATAAATCACTGCACAGGGGCAAGTCGGGAGATTTCAGCATGTGAAAGAAGCCAGGCACAAGAATCCCACTGCTGTATGATCACACACTGCAATCAGGGGGCCCTTGGTTAACAGCGGGGGGCCAGGGGGTGCTGCGCTGTTGTGTGCTGGGGAGTTTGCATGATGAGTTTCAGAAATAGAATGGGGGGTGCTGTCCCGCAGGGTGAGCGCATGCAGTGTGCCGTTCCACACTAAAAGTGTCACCATTTTCTGTTGTGATGATTTTATCACAATTACATTCATTACACAATTTATACAATCAGATATGTGTATGCATTTGCCATATATGGTGTGTGTACACAAAGGGTGACTGAGGAAGCTATGATGAAGTCCTGTCGGTCCTGAAGGGGAGATGTGTTCCCTGGGGGCGTGGGGTGGGGTCAGGACCCTTTGTGTGTGCCAACCTGTGAGGTGCTGCTCAGTCCTGGGCTTCCTGAAGGCAGGTGCTATGTGCAGCCACTAGAGGGCAGCATGGGCCAGCAAACTGGGCCTGCCCGGGGTTCCCACACTTCAAGACTCTTGAAGTCCTGGCCTCCTCCAGATGCAAGATGGGAAAAAATCCTGCCTAGTCATTGCACCTGGATGCAGTGAAGATGAGAGAGGAGAATGAATTGGAAACGTAGAGAGTGAGCCAAGTAGCACAGGTGCTATCAGGAGATGGAGCTCCTCATTGGTCCACACTCCTGCCTGCTGAGAGGGTCCCACCTGCAGCCCCCAGGCTGCCACTCCCCTATAAGTCCATACCCTGGACCTTCTGCTTAGTCAGACCCCCATGGGGCTGCGGGGACCTGAGCCTTTCTGCTTGTCACTCTCTCCCCAGGGTCATACCCAGGTGCTCTGAGGTATAAACTCTGACCCATATGATCCACCTCTTCCAGCAAATGCCACTCCCTCTGCTTCCAGACCAACAGGCTGGAAATGAAGCATTAACAGAGCAGGAGAGGATGGACAGGATGGGGAGGGAGGAGGAGGCTGGGCTAAGGGAGAATCCCAGAAACGGGGCATTTCCAAAGCAATGGTTTTATCGATTTAAAATACATTCCTAAGTGAATAGCTACTCACTAATGCAATAATCCATGAAGTAGGTCTATTAACTTCCCAATTCAAAGACGAGAACATCAGACAGCTGGAGAAACTGTCCGCAGCTGCCCAGCAGAGTCAGGATTAAACCATTCAGTGAAAGCTGCAGACTCAGATCACAAGCACCTGCATTCTAGAATGTTCCAGAGCCCATCCTATAGCACAAATGCCAAAATCCAGTTAAGAGCTGCAGGCTTTAGGGCCCTCCCTGGTGGAGCAATCAGTTAAGTCTCAGCACTATGAAGCTATTGGCAAGCACTGCAGAACAAGTTCAGTCTCCGGCCAGGGAGCTGACTGACCCACATGGAGCTGACTGACCCACATGGCGCGGCAGACCTCTCCTGGCCCTCCTGCCCGCTGCTCCCCTCAGCAGTGTACTTCAGTCAGCCTGCCTGTTCTGCTCCCCACACTGTCTCTGGTGAATTCTCTCACATCGCACCTCTGGCCTGTACCCCAGTTCTGTGTGCATAAATAAATCTTAAAAAAAAAAAAAAAAAAAGAGCTGCAAACTTCAGGCTACAGGCCTCTTGTTTGCAGGTGAGATGCTGCTCCCCTGAGTCATTCCGGAAGAACTTTGCATTCACAGTGTGTGAGTCACAGGCATCTCCAGAGTGGTCCCCAGGTGAGAGGGGCGAGGACTGCACACCTGTGTTGTTCCTCTTGCAGAAAAAGAATTCCAAATATTCACTGGGAAACCACGCTCACACGGAGCACACCCTTCCAGGTCACAGGGCTCTAGCCTTGCACTGCCTCGGAGGCATTTCTCAACTCTGGATTGTGGCAATGCCCCCTCCTCCTGTCTGGTGGAAAATCCACCCCCTCGTGGAAAATCCAGTTTCACATCCATTGACATATACATTTCTCAACAGCCCTGACCTCCAGGTGTGAGTTTGTTTGAGCTGCTCTAACATTTACCCACTTCCCTTAGGAGTTAAACAAAGTGTCAAACGCGCGTTCATAGTTCAGTGCAGGAGTCATCATTTTCAATTTCTTATTTATCAATGTATTTTATATATTTATGTATTTATCCATGCAAGAGGTGGGGTGCAGGCCAGAGGTGCAGGGAGGGGGTGAGAGGATTCACCAGAGACAGAGTGAAGAGCAGAACAGGCAGACTGACTGAAACACACTGCTGAGGGGAGCAGCGGGGAGAGAGGAGCGGTCTGCTGAGCCCTGTGGGTCTCTCCCTGGCCTGTCACTCCCTGCTGGAGATCAAACTCAGGCTGCAGTGGCTGGTGACAGCTTCACAGTGCTGAGACTTAACCCCTGCGCCACCAGGGAGGCCCACACTCTCTTATTTTGAAAAGTATCGCTAGCACTTCCTCCCTGGGGTGTTCCTGGTTCCCTCAGGTGGGCCGGCCTGCGGCCTGGGTGAGGGAGCTGAGCTGTGGAGGCAGCTGGCGCTGTGCAGGGCCTCTCACTCAGGTGCACGGGACACGTGCAGGGTTCAGCAAGACCTGGACTCTCCCTCCAGGGGAGCCCCTGTCGTTCCTAACATGCCTCGTTGGGGAACAGCAGCAGAAACATTTCCTGCGTTCCTACTTGGGGTGAGGCTGCAGGGGCAGGATGACTGGTTACCTCTGACTGGAAGCTGATTTTCTGCTGGGTTGGGGAACCTGCCCAGAGCCCCACCCAGACAGAGACCACAGGGAACGGAACGAGACCTGCCTGACCGGGTGACCCGCCTGCCCTTCTCCCTCAGGGCTCCAGAGGACAACCCACACTTAGCACTGGGGCGGGTCCGTGGGGCTGTGTCATGCTTCTGCACTCGGTCCCAACACCTCTTCACGCCCCCATTTTACAGGGGAGGAAACTGAGGCTCAGGGAGATGTGACTTGTCTGAGGACATACAGTGGGGGGCCCTCAGTGGAGGTACATGGCAGGGGCCCAGCTCCTGGTCCGTAGGTCCTGGCCCTGGTCAGGGCTGTCCAGCCTGTCCTCTCCCCATTGCGGGTGCCCAGGGGGTGAGTGGCGGGGGCTTGTCTCAACATAACCCTTAACAGAGGCCTTGGCCTGGGCGAGATCTGCCAGGCAGTAGTGACGCTGGCAGCAGTTACCACGGTGAGTAGGTAGATGCCCAGATGCACCATGCCTGCCCTCACGAGGCCTGCAGATCTCAGGAATCTGAGGCTCCCGGTCGGTCACAGCCCTGACCTTGGCGGGTACAGTCCAGGCCATCGGCCATCGGCCATCGGCCGCTCCTCCCGCCACGTGACGGGGCAAGCTGCTGGCCTTTCTGAAGCTCCTTTCCTCCGTCTTAAAACAGAGATAATTACACGTCATCATCACATTTCAAGGGATTACATAGCATATGATTAACTGCAATATGGTTCTGTGAATTGGATCCTGAAGTGGAAAAAAGGACGTTAGTGGGAACTCGGGTGAAATCGAACAAGTTGGGGGTTAGTGACTAGCAGTCCGCAGGGTGGTTCCTGGTTTTGATGACTGCGCCATCGTCACGTAAGATGTTGACAAAAGGAAACTGGTGGAGGGCGTGCGGACGCATGTGTCATCACGGTGACTGGGGTAAATCTAAAAGTACTCCAAAATGAAAAGTGTATTACTGAGAAAAAGTGAAGGGCTGCAGGGGAGGCCGTGAGCCCCCGGGTACCCGCTTTTGCTGACACCAGGGCAGGAGGGCGCCAGCGAGTCATCAGCTACTTTCCTGCAAAAGGGGAAGTGATAGAAGGAGAGAAGAATCCAGAAAGGGGGTGGCAGTCACTGCTGGAGAAGAGGACAGAGAGGTCACGGATCCCATGGATTCCCGGGAGTCCCCAGGAGTGAAGGAGCAGCTGATGTAATCAGGGTACTGGGGCCGGGGTCCCCAAATCCGGTAGCCGCCAGCACCCGGAAGTGTTGGGTGGGGAGAAGGTGGGGGGACAGTTCCAGTGGGGGGATGGAGTGTGAGGAATCAGGGTGACTTTCCGCCCCGGTGCCGTCACTTTCT